GAGGGAGGGGGTTTGGTTTAGATTCTTGATTTTTGTTTCGTTTTGTTTGGGTTTTTATGATTTGTCTTGTTGCTATCCATTGGTTTTTCGTTCTCGCAAAGAGGCGACCTGTTGTCAGATCTGGCTCATTATTAACCCTTAGATCCCCATGTCCGATCCTCAGTCGCGCTACTCCTCCCAGGAACGCTTGCACCAGTTCCCGTCTCATCCCACGGCGGAGGAACTGCACTTCCTGTCCAGCCACTTCGGTAGCTCGGACAACATGGCCACATCCCATGACGATAATGACCTTCACCCCCACGCCAACATGAGGCCAAGGTCGCGAAGTTTAAGGTCAGTTGACTTCTTTTTCTTTTTTCTTCAACTTTCTATTATTTAGCCTTTGTGATACTTTTGTTTCGTTTTATTTTTTTCCCTGATTATTTTTGGTTTTTATTTTTAGTGTGTGTTTATTTTTTAACGATTTTCTATCAGTCATTCCCTTCTTGTTTGGGTTCGCCCTTCGAGTTTTATATATGCTTGAATTTTAGGCGGTTTCTTTAAAATATTTAAAGACTTATTGTTTTTCATTGAACTCAAGAAACAATGCAACATTGCCTATGTCCTCTTATTTAAGATTTGCGCCCATACCCCCCCCCCCTTCTTTACCAGGTTGTCAGTACCTCCGAGACAGTACTCTCAAGCTTTAGTTGAATAAGGACAGGTATTGTCGGGCTTTCCCCCCCCCCCCTTCTTTTTTTTTAAAAGTTTTGATATTTTGTTTGCTTGCTACCCATTCTGATAGTGTCGTTTGTAGTTTATTCGCTCGCTGTCTAGGACGTAGGGGTTTGTAGAGAGGAAACGTCCCTTTGTGGGGTAGAGGTTGTTACTTGATGTCCACATCAAGCATGTACATAATATGTCATTCAGGTTCTGTCTCCTGGAATCATTTGAGTTTGAGAACGCCTTTCAGGCGTGGTGTCATAGTTGGGGAAACAAAAATTTGTGGGGAAATGTAGGGAAGTTCGAAGCCTGGGGACAGAGAGAAACAGAGATAGGTAGAGCATAGAGAGATGAAGGAGGGGGACAGGTCAGAAGCGTTTCTTTGCATATGTTTAATTCATTCGTGCTTTGGTTATTCCACGTATCGCCCCTTTTGAATCTTTCCAATTTTTAAAGACTTTTTATGCCCAGCACAGTGTTTTCCCATTTTATTGTTTGGTCGCTTGTTAACTAACCGTCTTCTAATTAGTCTTAACGGATTATCCATCCAGGTCTTTGTTACCTTTTCTCTTGAGAAATGAAAAGAGCGTTTTCTTCTTTTTTTTTAAAGTAAATTTGTTTAGATTATTTTTCGCCTTTCTTTTGCTGTGAGTGTTGACGCAGACTTTCTTTTCTTGCCACGCCCTAATAGTAGCCAAGCTTGGTGGGCTCGTAAAATAATATGTGTTCGTTGTGGGGGTTTTTAAAACTTTGTTTTGTTTTTTCAGGAAAGAAAATGGTT